GCAGGATTCGGTCGCTGAGGATTTCGCCGCCTTGCAGCTCGGTGTACGACGCAGATGACGTCATCGATGGGGTGGTACCTTGTGGCGCCACGGTGACGTCTGCGCCGGAATGTCGGGTTGCTGGCAAAAGCTGGGTGGCGCCATCGAGACTGGCGAACTCGATGTCATTATCCTGTAGCAGTTCCACCTCTTTGGAGTCCTCGGCTTGTCGGATTTCTTGGCTCTGCGCCAAGTGGGTCGAAAAAAGCAGCGTTACGAGCATCCATAAACATATGCTGGCCCATTTTGGATTTATTTGGGGTTTACTTTTCCGCTGGCAGTTGGTTTTATGTCGTTGCAGCTTCATTTGTGCATCGTTTTCGTATCACTAATCGTTGTCGTTAAATTTGGTTTATTTTCGCTTTCAATTAATTACTTCACTAACGGTTTTTATTACACATTCGCCATGGCAGTTTCGTGATTATTTAACAGCTGAGGGAAAAAGTTGGGATTTATACTTTAATTAGTTGGCCTTCCTCTAACATTTATTCAAATATCTTAGACTTTATATTGTATAGTTAATAATTTATGGGCGGTCACGTTAAAAAATTCTATTTAGATTTTATGCAATCCAATTTCGGCACATTTATTTAAATTAAAGAAGTTTTGTTTGGGAGCACATTCTTTATTTACATAAAAAAATTAGGTTGCTTTTAATAAAAATTTCAACACTTTAGAAGTACTTTATTATCATATTTTAGCTTAATTTTTTAGTTTCACTTTTTGGCTTTGTTTTGGTAAAAGGGGTAATCTTTTTCAACAGTTGTTATTGTTTTCAATGCACTTTTCTGTTATTTCTCATTTATTGTTGCTTTTTCAACACCCCAATCTCGAATATCTTGAGATTTCCCAACAGAAACATGAGAATTTTGGTTGGCTTCATTGTCAACAAATTTTTCTGATAAGCCACCAAGAGAACGGGCCCAAAAAAAAGAGTCGGAAACAACAACAGAGCTTCTACCACATCACACACACACACACATACATATCAGCTTTCAGAATTTTGTTTTGACTTTTCCAATTTTCCCATAAGAACACGTCCGTACGCAAAGAACCGTTAGCAACGACTGAAAAACCGAGAGGGTTTAGTACATTGCATTACCCACAGATAGAGCGAGACAGAGCGATTCAAAGAACGGCTGGGAAAAGAGAGCGGCCGATGAACAACAATAACAAAAGAAATGAGACAAACAAACAACAATATGTTAAATATTGGGGAGTTGTTGGAATTCCCCCGCTTTAGTAAAATAACTGTAAATGTGGAGGCACTCCATTCATGCCACAAGAGGGAGCGGGAGAGCGAGAGAGCTCGTGTTTTTCACCAAGTTTTCTTTTATTTGCCTTCGGTTACGTGTGCGTAGTAAGAAGAAAGAAGAAAGCATTTCCACCTTCGGCTCATGGGCTTTACCAAAACTTTCCCCCACCCTCACTTTACACTGGCAGAAATTTGACTAGCTGAGGATCACTAAAAGAACCTGACTAAGTCATAAAACTTTTTTAAAAAATAATGTAATATAAAGTTGGTTATTATTAAATATAAAATACAAATATATATGGATTATATATAATATATGCATTAAATATTTTTCATAGTAATTTTTATGATTTTAAGGAACGTTTTCTTCAGTGCACCCCCAACATTCTTGATAACCAACATTTTAAATTTATCGAATATGCAAAGCAGCTTTATGGGGCGGGGTTCTGAGGATAGGGGGAGGAAGCAGGGGCAACGGTGCGTGTGTGGATTGTATCTTGTATCTGGTATCTGGTATAGGACGGTCGATGGATGTGACTCAACTGCAACGCTGAATGTTGTTTTTGTGGTTGCCGTGACTGCGTTTGAAGTGCATTCAAAAGTTTATTGTCTGCCTTTTTATGGGTTTATTAACTTTAGTTAAGTTTGGTTTGCTCTTTGCCATTTTGCGCTTCTCATAAGTTAAGTGAACGCACCAAGTTCCGATAAAAATAATATTAACCTCAATGGCTGTACACAGTTACAGTTCAAGTTCTTGACAAAGTTTCAGTCCATTTGATTGCATTAGCTGATTAGATTAGATTGAAAACAAGCTGACTGCAAATAGATCACTCACTAAAATAAGTTTTGAAATTAAAACTATTTCCGCCAATTTTTCAATCACTGTACATTCTAAATCTGTGAAGTTCAATTCCCCAAGCAGTGTTCTAGTTTTATTGAGCTTTCTGAATGGTTCTGTGAAAGGGATTTCCCGCTGTGCAGCTGTTTTTTCGGCCAATTTTACAGCAATTTAATTTAGTTTCCGTTCCACCGAAGAGTTCAACAAACCTTTGAGCCAATGTTAGAATAAAGCCAATTGCCTAAACAATTTCATGCTCGTTTGAGGTCTTGTTACTGTCCAATTTGCTTTGATGTACCCAAATATATAGAATTTGTTAGTCACTTGCCGGCTTCCATGATCGTTGCATGACTAAGACCTACCCACACACGTAAAATGGTACTCACATCTCCATTCGAAGACGATCATGATGACGCTATATGTAGTAAGCTTGACCAGCAAGCTTGCCTTCCTATTATCGCAGACTCAAGTGAAGAAACACGTATGTTTGAAAAAAAAACCTAAAATAAGGTATATATATTTCAGTCTCAAAACCTGTTGATTTGTTGTTTCTATTATCTTTGGGATTTTATAATGCACCGGGAATGCCTGTAGTCTTTGTTTGGCCTTTCCTTATCTACGCCAAGTGATTGATAATGCCCCACTTCCTTTTACGTTTGCGAAAATGTTCTTATAATTCACTTTTCCACGTTTTTATGGCCAACCTGTTGTAACCAGAATGGCACAGCGTCATCGGCTTCTATATTCAATTGCCATCGAATGACTAATGCGGAACGGAAGTGACAGAGGAACTCCGAGAGGAACTAGTGTGTGCAGGGGACAAGCTGTCTATAGGGAGGGGATAAAAGGTAGCAAATTAAAAAAAAAAAAACAAGTGCAACCAACGTTGCGGCTCGCTGAACGCATCAACTTAAAAGTTGCAGTTGCAGTTTATTGGCCACAAACCAACGCAAAAAAAAAGGAAAATAAAACTAAAAATTGCCGTAGATGAGGCAATTAGTTGGTGGTGCCAAGAAAGCGTGCAGAAACGGGAAGAAACAGAGCAAAAGCTAACAGAATTTTCGGATCCATCTTTATACTCCGCTGATTTTCTATCCAGTCAAAACTTTGTCAGCGAAATCTAAAAAAAACCTTTGGGACACCTTAAAACTTGTAAAATCGCCTGAGATCCCCTAGGTTGAATTTTCTTTCAAAAAATCATCAATCACAGTGATAAATAACATAAAACCGCTTTTAGTCCGTATTGGTAGATTATAAACTTCATTTTTCGTTTATTTGAAAGCCATTCAATTTGCACACAGACCACCTATTTTTAAGTGGAACAAGCTCATATATTTGATTCTTTTGCTCCAGAATCCGATCACTTTTAAGCCGTCATTTAATGCGCGTCTTGTATGTTTTCTTTGTGTACTCCACTTGCCGTTTCACAGTAGTGGTGTGTTTGGTAATACTTTTTTTGGTGGTGCCACCAACACAACCTCACTTTCTGGCCAAAAGCTTTGGCTTTTCACTTTGGGTTTTCTCAAAAAATATCAATTTAGACACTATTTTAACACAGATATGCGGCTTTATCTGTTAAGTTATAATCTTGGGCGTTTTAGTTCCGATTTTTTAGCTGTTCCGAAGCGACGCTTATTGCATTTAAGGCGCGGTCAGTCAGCGATCACTCACACTCTGAAGAACCGACTGTACGTATACGTGACAGCCAAGAGAAGAAACAACAAAGCACCGTTGAGATCAATAAGTTACTACTGCCAAGCGTTATTTTCCCCGATCAAGCGCACACGTCCAACATCGAACACCTTCTGAACCGAACTGAGTGCCGTCGCAAAACTGAAAAACTGAATAAACGGAACGACGAGCGGCACAGAGCGCACTGAGTTCACGAGAGAAGAGCCGTCATTCAAAGTTGGCCAGGTAAACCCATCTGGCCCCAAAGCTTTCGGTCTTGCGAGCGGGTGAGCTGCGTTCGCACTCCACTCTCAGCTGCCTTGGCCGAAATGCTAAATGTGGCCAGTGCAGTGCCAAAGCTTGGGGTTCGAGTTGGCTACTTGACCTGTTGCTGTTGGTAACCGGTTAACAGGCGGCGCAGTCTTGTGGTTGGATTGTGGATCTGTTAGACACGGAAAGCTGTTAAGAAGTAAAGGCATGTAGTGCCCTTGTCCTGGAAAAGGACTTGGGCCGAGGGACGGGCATCCTATGGCCAGCGTAAGCTCGTCGTATTCGGGTCGAGGGATCTCAACTTAACGAGAATAAATATTAGAAGTGCCTGTAAAATAATTGTCCGTCAAAAGGTATCATTTATTTTTTAATTTCAATATTAATAAGTGCAATCACATTACCTGGAAGAGGGTGTCCTCCCTGGACTCGATATCTTCTTCTATTGATAAATATTTTCTATTTTCTTTTGATAAATACAAAACGTATGCTTTTTCAAGGACTTACAGAGTCGCCTCTTTTGTACATTTTATTGCTAACAATAAATTCTATTGAGCGTTGTAATACTTAGAATACTGAGGTATGTCGACTCCTACGAATTAAAATGAATGATATGAATAACATGAATAATGAAAGGACAGTTTGTGGCCTCACTGGCGCCACTGCTTTATTTTGTTGGTACTAACTTTCCGAGGCGCCATCATGATCATGGCGAGATCGAGAACTACAAAATCACAAATGACATCACAACAGGGCCGCTAGTTGATGTTGCGGCGAAAGTAGGTACTAAAGGGGTCTAAAAGAGCGCCACCTAGTCGGTCGTAAGGCGCAAACTTGGGCGCGGATTCTATTCGAGTTCGAAAGAATTCAAATTCGTTCGTAGTAACATAAGTTAACTTTATTTAATTTAATTTAAAATATTCATCCAACTGCAAAATGTTTGTAATTTAGTAGGCGTGTGCGTGTAGACTAACGCGTGGTCATCATGTTGGTAAACTCCTCGAAATTGATGTGATTGTCCTGATCGACATCGTACTCGCGTATCATCTCCTCCAGCTCGTCGTCTTCCAATTTTTCGCCAAGTGCCATGAAGACAGCCCTCAACTCGGTAGCGGATATGTACCCATTGTTCTCCTTATCAAAAACACTAAAGGCATCGCGCAGCTCCTCCTCCTTACTTGTGTCACGCATCTTGCGCAGAATCACATTGTAAAACTCGGCAGCCGAAATGGTTCCATTTCCATCGGAGTCCACCTCGTTTATCAAGGACTGAACCTCCGCTTCGTTGGGCTGCCGACCTATTGCGCGAATTACCAGTCCCAATTCCTTCGAGGTGATGGCTCCTTCGTTCTCCGTGTCCAATATCTTAAAGGTTTTTTTGAACAGGTCCTGCTCCTCAGTGGTCAATTCATCCATTTTTGCTTTATATTATTACAACACGAATATGCTATTATGCTCGTAGGTTTAGTTTTTCGATAGAGCTGATTCCCAATTGAGGTTGATAGGCTTTGAAGGAGTTCTACGATTGAAAACGATTGTTATTCAAAATATTAAATTTCCCAACATAAGCGACGCCCTCAGCCATTTAATAGATATTAAAAAACATTCGTGTTCCATGAGTTCATAAACTTTTAATGAATAAAAGGGCATTAAAAGAGCATTCTCACGCACAGTTTGGCAAACAAATCACGTGCTTTCCTGGACACAAATGATATCATCTGGCGGAGAAACTCTTTCGCTTTACGCGAATTATTTTATAGTTGAACCAGAAATTGATGTTATCGGTGGGGGATGAAATGGGCGCCCATTCCGCCCAATGAGGAAATTCCAGGAAGCCGGCAACTCCAACTGGCGGTGATGACAATTTGCGTGGCATTTTAATTGAACTTTCTACGTGCTCAAGTGGCGTACTTTGATTTGAGCCCCATCCACCGATTTTTCGTCGATTTGAGTCAATGTTAAAGGCGTTGCCACAAACCGCAAACTGTCGTGTCTAGGAGGTCGGGGAGGAGCTGGGGCCTCGAAACGTGCCTGAAGTATTATTACCGCCGTCTGTGATTGATGGCCTCATGCGAGTGAGTCAGTGGATTTTTATAACTCTACGCAGATCCCTTCCTTTCAATCAAGCGGCAAAAAACTGGACATCGATCTCTCCGATATTAGCTATCTTTATTTCAACTTAACTGCCCAGAGTGCTTTGAATAAAGCGGACCTTGGGATTCTCAATCAGAAAAGGTAGACTTTTTGTTAGATTACCGAAATATTTACTTACTCAGCTCTTGAAGATCCCACCCAAGCAAATGAGATGCAACAGTTTTTCAATATTAATGCATACTTTATTTGAAATCAACTAACTCGCTATGGTTGGAATAAAATCATTTAAAATTGAAGGAAGACCATGGAATTCTATGGGTTGCTTACATGAACTAATGCAAAACTCTTAAAAGTAAAGCCTAATTACATAAGGTTCAACTGGAATGTTGCTGGTAGTTTGATTTTGTTTATGCTCTGCTTTACACTAGCTTTTACTTTCAACCATTTTTTTCCCTACAGCAAAATCGATTTACGATTTTGTTTTCTCATTAAGATTAGCTTACCGGATAAGGAAACATAAATAAAAAATTGGAATTCACTCAGCAAACAGCAACACTTAGTGTTGGGCCACGCATTAAAAACTAATCGATAGACTCTCGTACTAAAGGCTTAAACATTTAAATGGGCAGATTTAGGCTAAGTTCCTAACGCATAAGCTCTATAAAATGCAACAACAGAGTTTTTTCGCTTACGATTATCGCTTAGGGGTGTAACTGTCTTTATTACTTAGTTTAGGTTTATTGCCTTGCCTAGACATTGTACTAAAAAGTATTAAAACGTACATCTAAATATATTTTAATGTACTTGTGGGTCCAAAACGAAAAATCCTCGTTTGGCCATTGGGAACAATAATTGTTTGTCGTCATAAAGGTTACGATTTTCATCTGATCAGTTGGGGAAAAATCGGATGCACATGATCTTCTACATGTTATACAAGAACAAGGATGGTGATTATCTTTTGATATTTCAAATCGTCATGAGCTTGGATAAATAGTTTCCCAAATTGTATTGTGTTCCTATTCCGATCTTAACTCCATTTATGAATAGTTTACTAGTTCTTCCTCAGTGTGTTTCTAACGTCTCATTATGTCCTCAATGCTGAACCCTGTTCTCCTGGGTGGTGCAGGCGGTGGTGCTATGGGTGGTGCAGCCACTGGGGGTCCCTTTTCGGTGGTGGCTCCACTAGTTTCCGTACTCGGTGGCTTGCCCAAAAGTTGTCTGGGCGGATGTCGCGACATATTCAGAGCATATATGCTTGGACTGTCCACGAAGGTCCTTTGGCCCAATCCAGGATGGTGGTGCGGATCCATCAAGTCCAGGGTCGGCGCCGGAAGAATCCTCTTCCTCATGGGAATCGAGCCCAAGAAGCTTGGCATGGCTTCATGCGGCGAATGCAAAGGTTGATTGGGTGGTTTACCCGACTCCGGTTGGGTGATTATAGTGGGTGGTGTATGTGGTGGCGGTGGTGCACCAGCCTTCGAAAGGTTCAAGCTCTTGTGGTGCAAGTCGCGTCGAACGTGCAGAATGGGCAAATAGGGATCTCCGTTGGGTGGGAGTAGGTGTGGATGACCTGGGTGCTGGTGGGTCGGTGGTGGAGCTCCAGGTGGTGCAGGCGGTGCTGCAGCTGCTCCAGGTGGTACTGGATATCGCACAAATGAAGGTGGAACCGGTAGGCTGGTAATGCCAGCGTTTCCAGGCTCCTCCTGATGTTTCTCGCCATGTGGCCGCATTGTGTAGGTCTCACCGCCCTCATGATGACAGTGGGTCACGCCCTGGCGTTCCGGCTTGGTGCCCACTGACGGCGATGATTGCGACGTGGATGCGGCCTTACTCGCCTGGAAACGAGCCACCAGAGCCACCTCGGCCTGCTCCTCGTCCTCGGGATCGAAGTCGTCGTCCTCTTCCCTGGGCAAATCATGTACCCGTGGCAGATCCTGCAGTTCCTCCTCCTCATCGAAGTCATCGAACTCCTCTTCGCTTTCCTCCTGGTCGATGGCTGCCTTGCGCTTGAGTCTCATTCTTTCGGACTCCGATTTCTCGCCCGAACCTCCAGAGTCGCCCAAGTTGTGAACGGGCGACTGGCGGGGCGAGTCCACTTCCAGCAGCGAATCCTCCTCGTCGCCACTCAAGTTCCTGGCCTCATCCTCCTCGCCCACATCCACATAGTCCCCGGAATTGACCTCACCCACTGCATGGGTCAAGGCATGACGTCGTAGGTCACAGTTCCGGCGGAAAACCTTGCCGCACGAGGAGCACTCGTAGGGCTTGTGATCCGTGTGGGTGAGCAGATGGGTCTTCAGGTTGGAGCGCTGATTGAATGATCGACTGCAAACGGGGCACTTGTGGGGCGATTCCTCCATGTGCAGGATCTTGTGGACGGCCAAGGTCCTCGATTGGCAGAAGCCTTTGCCGCATTCCGTGCATTTGAAGGGCTTCTCCTTGGAGTGAATATACCTGGGCAAGTACAAGTGGTGAAACAATTAGACTTTATTGTTATTGCGTGGGCGTTTCCCTGGTAGCTGCAATTGGTAGCCCAGGTTGACAGTTATCTCTGCTCAAATGCAACCTCGGTGATGTACAGCTTTCAAATACCCTAACTCAGGATATAACTGGCCAAGGCAAACATTGAAATAGACATGTATCCAATATACTTCCCTTCAATAATTTCCTATCAAAAGACTGATTAAAACAGTTTTAAATAATAGCTAACCCCGTCGTTCCTCTAACTTTTAAACCCATACCGTGAAGTTTCTATTACAAAATCCTATGCCATTGTGCTCCTTTAACTGATAGGGTATTTAACGTTCGTGTTTGCTACGGGCATGCATTAATTTTTTATGTTTATGGCGGCCATCTTGGCAATGGCGTCCACTTGTTGTTGGATAGCAGCAGCCACAGTTAAAAGTTTAAGTCCCCATCTTCGACGGAGCCACAGATTCAGCATCGCATCGGAGGCAGCAGCTGCTGGTGGAAAAAACAAAATATATAAAGCCGAAAACAGGTTCTGCCTCCGAAGCCCCCAGATTCTTCTCCCATGCTCAGGCGCGTTTCTGGTAAAAATACAAAAAGAAAAAAAATGCTAAGAAGAATTAGCCCCGCGGCAAAGCAAACAAACGACAAATGGACCGATACCGAACGATCAAAAGACAGAACGCTCGGACAGGCCGACACATTGGAGTCGGGATGCTGGAGACGGAGACCTGCTGCCTGGCATCCATATACGAGTCCCTCATCCCTCATCCCTCAATTTTAATGCTGGTGGAGGAGCCCCAAAGGAAAACCAACAGAGTTAATTAACTTTGTGTTGTACTCTTCGGCCGAGTTGGAGTTTTACTGGCCGTCGGAGGAGCTCTGATTTTGGGTCTGATTTTATGGGGAAATATTTGAGTTGAGGTAGGAAAATTCGTCGTAAAGTCTGAACATTTCCTGGAAAATTCCTAATGGTAAAAGGGTTACTTTTAAGCGGTTCTCTGATAGATCTAAGATCAATAAAAAACCATTTCATTTTGGCCAGGAATTTGTCCACACCTGTAAAAACTCCTAGTAAGCATTAAAATATGTAATCATCAGATGAAACAATAATCCATTGCCCTTAGAGGGTATACCACTATTCGCCATTCGCTCGCACTTAGATCAACAAGTATATCTGCAGGCCTGATGGCAATTACCCGAGCAGACACTGCCCCCTTTGTGATTTCATGTGCCCCAACCTCGACTCACCTGTGATCCCTCAGGTGATCCTGTCGCCGGAACGCCTTGCCGCAGATATCACAGGAATAGGGCCGCTCGTCCGTGTGGGTCCTCTCGTGGATGAGCAGATTGTACGACTTGGTGAACTGTCGATTGCAGAACTTGCAGATGAACTGCTTCTTGGGCCGCGAGGCACGGCCAGGAGCTCGTAGCAGACGCCTATCGAGTCCAGCATGCATTCCAGGACCCAGGCCCGGTGGGAATAGAGCTGCGGCGGCGGCACCTGGCGGAAATGGAAAGCTGCCGGCGCCCGTCGGCGAAGGACCCGGTCCGGTGAGATATGGCGGAGGTGGCACGCCAGCGGGTCCATACAGCACGCCGGGCGGTGGCACACCAGGACCGCCGGGTCCGCCAGGACCACGGCCCAACATAGCCGCTGCCGCAGCCGCCTCCCTTAAGGCCAGCTCCTTCCGCTTGTCCGCCATCATGGCAATGATTTCGTAATTGGAATTGCTACCGGGACGCACCTTTCCGGTGGGCAGAACCGGCACAAAGGCAGAGATCTCGCGGTGGTGCGACGGTGGTGGCGGTGGCGGCGGTCCATGCAGTCCGGCCAAATGCTGCTGATAGGCCAGCTGTGTTTCATACGCCGAGATCCGGCTGGCCGATGAGTTGCGCGAATCGCCGTTGCCATTCTGGGAGCCACCATCCGA